TTGCAGAAGCCAAAGGATTGCAAAGTTTGTAATTGTCATTCCCAATGTCGCTGATACCAACTTTAAAGTAGATGCTGTGCGAATTTTGTGTTTTAATGGGTGTTCGGGCTTGTCTAAACTAACAGCTTCCAACTGTGCGAAGTTACAAACTGCAAGAAATACCCCAGTCTTCTGCAACTCTTTGAGTAAACAGCAATATTCATAGTTTTCATCGACGTGTTTGTTCCACGCATCCACGGTCACAACGACAAGAATCGTGACTTGAAAAACAAACTGACATATTACCCAAGGCGTGAGGTATCTGTTTTCTTTCCTAAGGCAGCCTAATAGCATTCGTATATTGAAGAACAATCCCAGTATGTCAAGACCCACTATTGAAAGCAAATAAGGCAGGGGACTCATTTTCTCATTATTCCTTACCAACTGACATCAAGGCTGGTCTGTTATGTAGATAACCTAGTGATATTTGACCAATATCATCCGAACGTGCCGGAACCTTTCCCACAATACTTCGCCGGGCTTTTCGAATCCACTTCTCATCAGTGATGTTAGTAAATTTAGTCTTTGAATCAGTGTGTACACAGGTAGCCCAGGCTCGAAATATGAGCATCGGCGAGCATCGGCATTGTTGCGTAACATTCAAAATATAAGGATTTGTATGGGAAAAAAACCTATCGTTTCTGTAACCTACGAAAATGAAAGGATTTCAACAACAGCTTAATAAACTTACTACCTTACTTAAAATGTGTGTTACATCTCTCCTGTGTGGTCCACGGGCCGATTTATGGTCGTTTTATGGGTCTTTATGTGAACGGTTTTCTCTCTATATAAAGGCTTAAACCTCTATTATATATTTCGAACTTGGGCTACCTGTGGTGTGTATTGATTCATATATGAGCTTTTCTTTTTTTTTTTTTTAAAAACAGTTAACTGCGAATTAACAATCTTACAGCGAATTTTACACATGTCCATAGGTACACTTTTTTACTTGAAAACCGAAAATTCTTTCCTATACTGAAAACATTAATCTCGTCCGGATGGACGGTTTTGAAATCGGTCTTCGCCTGTCTTCGCCTATACGTGAAGGCTCCGCCCAACTGCAGCTGGGGGCCCTTTTTCATGCTTCAGGTATATAAAAAGCTAGGGACTTTCTTAAGTTGAAGAACAGTAAAAACCCACATATAAGAACCTAGAATTTTCGAGGTCAGGCTGAACAGGTTCTTATATTTTAGTGTAGTTTTTCACAATTCAGGCTGATTAGGTTGTCATAGTGTAATCATTGGCAGAAATATTGTACCACCAATACATATCAAGTTCAAGGTCCAAGAAGAACATCAATACATTTCTACATTTTTTAAATAAGATATTTAGATTTTAAATCGTTTCTATAGCAAGGTAGCTTTATGGAAAACATATACTTCTAGTGAAACTCCAAACAAATGTAAATCAAAGGAAACATATACACTATTATCTTTTGTCAAAAGTTTCTCACACGATTAAAATCGAGAATTTTGACCATCAAAACTGGAGTGATTGTTTTGTATAAGGGCCTATTTTTCTTTTCAGGCTGAACAGGTTCGTATATTTTTGGGCATTTAAATGTCAAATTCAGCTTGTAGGCTCTTAAATCACTAGGTTATTATATGTGGTTTTAGCTGGGTTTTTACTATATATACTAGACAAGTATCCGCAAGAGTCGTGGAATTGGTTCGTTAAGAGTAGCATCCCAAGGGCTCTCTTGCCTGTTCTTAAAAACTTTCGCCGCCGTTTATTCCGACCCAACTGACCTCTTCTGGGACTCCGTAAGTGGATGGCATTGGGTCAACAATTTAGCGAATTGCTCACTTCTATCATTAAAATAAAAAAAGTGACAAAAGTCAGACAAACACGAAGGTAAATATTTGTTTCAAAGCAGAAAAGGGTTGTTAATCTGCAACTTGTATTTTTCGGGGGGAATAGCACAGATGAATATGAAAAGTGGGGATATAAAACTGAATTGAACAATATGCTACTATCACGACTTGCACATGCGCCGTGTTATGACACACGCCATTAGCTAGTGCCCTGAGGCTTTGAAGGCCCTTTCATAAGCCCGCCTTGCTTCAGTGTGTTGGTCCAAAATAAGTTTATAGAATAACGATCGACTGGGAAAAGATATGAATCTGCCATTTTTCTTGCTTGTAATTGTAGCTCTTGACTGCATAGGATTCATTTCTAATATACGAATGCTCTTCAGGCTTTTAAGCTGCTGCTTCAGGAAAGAAAACAAGTACAGATACCTGGTTCCTTGGATGACATGTCAGTTTGTTTATCAAATAGTTTTTCTAGTGACAGTGACCATGTACGCGTGGACCATTTATATCGACGACAACTACGAGTATTGCTGCACACTAAGACGTCTCAAGGAAACTGTGGAAATTCTTGAACTTTTAAACCTGTTTCACTTGTGATGTTTGCAATTTTGGGGAGCGAAATTGAACAAAAGGTTCGCGGACTGATACTCCTACACTGATAACATCGGCGGCGTTGCCTGGTATGGCAATCATGAACTTCGCAATCCTGTTTTGGCCCCTTCAAGAGTTAAGTCGAGATATTGCGAACCTGGCGATCTTTTCCTTGTTGATCTTCAACGTTCTCGCCCTAAAGTTTCTCTATTCTTGTTTCGCACCTAAAGAAAATTGCACTGAGGCGGTGGAAAATATATTAGACGGGTTGATCTTCTCTCTTATGGATAAGGCAACGGAAAATATATCGCTGGAGTCACTACTGTCGTGGAGGAACTGTCTTAAAGACAAATCTCTGGCACATTTCTCAGGCATTTTGTCCTTAGTCATCTTTACTGTGTATGTACCGTCGTCCAGAGTAGCCTTTTACTTCGGTAGCACCCTGAAACAGATCTCGCTCTGCACTTTGTTACGGTATTTCAGAATATATTTTTTGAAACTTTCATTCCCAGTTTCTTTTCTCTGTGTGTATTGATTCAATTTCCAGAAAACTGAAGTCGACTTATGTATAAGGAGAATTTCCACTATAGGCTTTAGAAATAAACGTAAAAATATCAGTTCAAGTAAAGTAAAATTTAAAATTATTCACACTTAAAATGACATTGTTCTTAGAAAATTTTATTCCTGTTGCTTGTCTGTATGTATTGATTCAACTTTCACTCAGCGGGAGAGGACTGTTGGACAGCTTCTCCACTATAGGCTGAATAAACTAAAAAATATTTCAGGTCGATTGATATTTAAAAACTTCAAAGTAATTATTTTTCCACAGAAGAACTTCAAATGAGCTTTAAAAGTTTGTTTCTAATAAGACAATTTTGATATTGATCGCATACCATGTTCACTTTCCTCAAAGCTCATGAAACCGCAAATTGGCCAAAACTTCGAATTCTGTATAAACATTTGCTGGCTTTCACTGTGACCCAATCAATGACAAAAAATTAAAGCCATTCAATAAATGAAGTCACTGTCTTTCCAAGATTTATGCCTGTGCGTACGACAGATTCGGAGAATGTTTTTTTCACCCTAACCTTCTTAACGGACGACGACGGCGACGACGAAAGGTAGAGAAAATCTCTCTTGAAAAGTGAATTCATGCTGTTTCCAAGTTCATTGCTCTTATTCCTTGTCGTTCAATTAATCAAATGTAAGTGAATTTTTCTGGAGTTGAATCCTAAAGGACTGTGTCTATGTTAGAAAAACTGAAATAGAAAATCGTTGTCTTGGTTAAAGTCCTCCACAAGACGTGAAATTAGGCAGTTTCTCGTCGTAGTGGTGCTGTGAAGGCATAGAAAAGTACAAAAAGCGTGATTCGCGTGCATAGTTGTTGTTTTGATAATACAGATTGCTTTTTTGACGTTCTTGTTGCCGTTCCCTATTTGGGCCCTGTCCACACTAATACATCGATCGATTCGCGTCCACATTACCGGCGTTTTGATGCGTTTCCGGCTGTCCAGACACTACCGTTCGAAAACGGTAGAATTGCTCATCGTGACGTATGTTGAACTCTAGTATGCGCATGCTGCAAACACAAGCACCTACGATATTTCGCTCATCGTTTTCATTTTGATGAGTTTTTGACCGTTTTCGACCATCCACATTAACACGATATGTATGAGTTTTTGTTTCGAATCTCTCTCAAGATCGTTTTCAAATCGATTCGTTTCCGATAAAAACGCTCAGCGTTTTCAAACAAAACTACTGCATTAGTGTGGAAGGGGCCTTAGAATTAGCCAAAGATAAAAGCGTATGTGAAATGCTCGCGTTCACCAAGCAGCGCGTAGTCATGGAGATCCCGGCAGAAAGAAGCCCAGGACGGTCACTGATTTTCTTTTCTCTTTTCCCTTTCCTTTCATTTTATACTTTTTGCTTTTCACTTTTTTATTTGTCGTTTTGAGTTTATTCTTTCCACTATTTGAGGTTTGTTTAAGTTTTCCTTTTTAAGGCCTCAAACTGAATTTGTCCTGCTTCCTCTTTCTAATTACATTACATTTCGTTTTGATTTTACTTTTTTGTTATTCTATTTTCTTTTCGTCTTTTAGTTTTCATTTTTAACCTTTTCATATTTATTTTGAAGTTTTTGCTTTTTATTAAATATATATTCTTTATGCTTTTAGTATCAAGTTTTGATCTAGTTTGTAAGCTTTTGTTTTTTTTGTTTGTTTGGTTGTTTCAAAAAATCAAAAATAGGTCCGCCCTGTAGGCCAAAATGTAGCGAATGTTTAATGGGCAAACAGTGAAAAGAAGTTTAGTAAATATAAGGATAGGTCGTGCTCTTTTTGGACGAACGGGTTTTGGTATATTTACTTGAGGTTCCACTAAAGGAATAGACCTTTGCTTAGTGTTCCCAATGTAGGTCCTATTTTTTTTCTCGTTTCTTACATATACTGATACAGGACAAGTTTAAAATGAATTTTTTTTAACGACTTAATTACATTGCAGACTATCGATATTAACATCAAACTAAGTCGACGTGGCCTATTGTTAATTTTTTTTTTTTTAGTTTGACTCGTAAAAGGTTTCTACTTCGTCTGGAGTGAACGGGGAAGTTCCTGCCAGGAATGTTTGGGCGAAGGTGCTGCCGTAGCTGTGCCCGCTCGGTGGACTGTAAGTATGGCCAAGCTGGCTATATGAATTGCTATTGGATGACGCGGAGTTGGAAATGTAAATGTCAAATCCTCCTCCGAATGTGGGCCCATACGATGAAAGAAAACGTACGGAATACGCTCTGTTAGAACTATATCTTCCTGTTTGAGGCAGTTTAACAGGTGCCCATCCTGGCTTGTTCACCAGTGAAAACAGAAAGGCTTTGGAGTCGTACTGATACTTATTGCTGGAATCTATCAGAGAGAAAAGAAATGGAAAACAGCGGTCACTAGAGACGCCATCTTGATACTCACTTGCGAAACCATCTCCCATGTACAAAGAGTCACACAGTCACGAAATAAATGTTTGTTAATATATTTACTTTCCTCATATAAACTTGTTTGAGTAGTAGTTGACTTTTTTATTTGTAAAAACAAAAATTTTCAACTAGTGGTCTATCATTAATGCTGCGTTCTGATTGGTTGAGCTACCACTAGGCTATGTTATAGCCCACTAGTAGCGAAAAGCGCGGGCTTTTTGGAGGCAAAAAAGGATTAAAGTCTGGCTTTAACTGGCTAAATTTTTTTTATTCTCGATATTTTTGACCAACTAGTTGGATTTTACTAAAACAATTATTCCTCTCTCCCTTATGGCCTCTGAGTCAATAGCCCATTCGGCCTTCGGCCTCATGGGCTATTGACTTAGAGCCCATTCGGGCTCGAGGAATAATTGTTAAATAAAAAAATGCCACAACACCATTTACATTAATGTACATTTTCTAAGTTTTGGGCGCAGTGAAGAGTCAGCTGAGTCCGTCATCCTAATAGCTTCGATTTTGTTGTTGACAAGATCATGGGTGCCTCTGGCTTGTGTCTCCGATTACGACTCCAGCTGCGACTCCTACTCCATTGCGATTGAGAACCCCCCTTTCTTTTTTTGTAGAGCTCAACCTAAGTAATCCGTGGTCATTTAAATTATTTTTTTCACCCTTCCAAAGTTAGTTTGAATCTAGTGATTTCGCAATGCCCCTAATCCTCTTTCCATCAATTTTAGGCTTTTTAAAGATATTTCTAATCTTTCCATCGTAATACTCCTTTCAATTTGAAAGTTACATCTAAATTTGTAATCCTTTCTCTGTCTCTCAAATACACAGGATAAAAATTGTTTTTTTAATACCTCCCTAAAGAGGTCGGTGCCATAATATGGGCGATCACCAACAAAAAAATGGTCACCGGAACCGGTCATTTGGAGAATGAAACAGGTAAGAAATTGAAAACAGTAAGCGCCCTCAGTTACATGTCTAAGCACTGTCAAGGAGTCACCGACTGGACCGGATCCTTCAATGATTTAGTCTACAAACAACACTGTCATTTCAGAAAATATTCAGTCTATGCTTTAAATATATCATCACACTTGGAGAGAGAATGGGGATGGGATGCGAAGGAAAGAGGTAGAGCAAGGCTAGAACAAGATCCATAAAAACAACGCTTTTTATCAGTGTATCCAAAGGCCGCGTTATTTTCATACTCCTCAATATGTAACTTTGTTTTTAGCATTATAACAAAGCTAGTAACCGTAGTAAGATTATCCCTGTTCATAATGTCCACTTACCCCATGAAACACTGGTGTATCCTCCAAAAATGTACCTTCCGACTCTTATTATTGTTACAGTCGGGCCCTTGCCATCACATCGCGAGTGAAATGTACTTGCAGCCCAGCCGTCCACGGTTGCACGCCAACAGCGCTTCCAGGCGGAATTCACGCTTTGTGCCACAGGCGACAGCCAGCCTCTTAAAATCCTCAAGTAATTTCTGCTGTTTCCCACTATTGCAGAGTCTAAAACTGAACAAATATCGAGCAGCATTAAAATCAATGACGTGATCAGAACAAAAGTATGGATGAAAAAAACCTTTCTTTGAGACTAAAACTGAGCTCTGATGAATAATGTGAACTTTAAGCATATTGACTTTTCAACGGTATGAAAACGCAAGAAGGTAGTAAAATCTAAGCCTTATTACGCCCAGGGATGGCTCGGCAGCAAGCCCACGTTGAAAATTTTTTATAGCTGAAACTTGCTTGTTATTGTTCACAAAAAGTTTACGAAAAATCCGGGTGGAAAGTAAATGGAGCACGACTTTTTTGGTCACGCTTGTTTCAGCGGAAAATTTCCGGGAGCAGCGTAACATCAAAAAAAATCAGACCCACTTTGAAACACCTTCTTAAAGACTACTTTCAGTGTTTTCATTTTATTCATTTGTTCACTAATATCCGGCTTAGGCCCGTTTCAAACGTCGTGCTACTGCAGTGCCGATCTAAATTGATCGAATTAAATTCGACTTTAGCACGGCAAACTAGCGCGACGTTTGAAACCAAGTAGCAAGCAAGCTTTGCTGTGCTACGCGGCAGTAGCTCGACTTTGTTTCAAACGTCGTGCTATCGCCGTGCCGAACTCAATTCATAAATTGTAAATACATAAGAATACATTTAAAAGTTTTCTGTACCGTTTCTTCGGCAGCCGTTCTGAATTAAATTCGACGTCTGAAACCAAATCGTGCTAGTGTCGTGCTGCAGTCGAGCTTCAGTCGAGCCAGCTTAGCACGGCAGTAGCACGACGTTCGAAACAGGACGCTCCTACATGAAAATTAACATCTAAGATTCATTAAAAGAACACGAGAACTTTTTGTGTTGAATATATAGAGCTTACCGGGTTTTCTTTGCACTACCACGTTGATTCTGGTCCTCGTTGTTCCCATCGCGTTCGTCGCGATGCAGTCGTACAAACCACTGTCAGCAAGAATCAAGTTCTTAATGGTTAGTGTACCATTGCTCAGCTCAGTTCTTCCACCAGGAAAAGGCATTCCAACTCTTCTCCAGCTTATTACGGGACGAGGGAATCCTTCAGCTTGACAAACTGCTTGAAAGGTGCTGCGTTGTATTGGCGTGGCGGGTGAAGGTGGAACGTTTGTTAAGACTGGAAGACCTGACAGAGAAGATAAATACTGAAAATGATATGTAAAACAACGAATAGAAAACAATTGCGAGCATCTGGACAACGAAGCTTCTATATTATTGCTTGTACAAATTATTGTAAGTGAGACAAAAATGAATAAAAACAAAACAAAACAAACAAATACACGGTAATTTTTAGGGAGTTATTATAACTCCAAAAATGGAGAAAAAATTTTAGGTACAGGATAACCCCTTTTTTGGGGTTATTTTAACTCCTAATTTAACTCCGAATTTGGGGTCATTTTTACTCCTGAAAAAGAGTTCTTTTTACTCCCAGTCTTGGAGTTAAAATTACTCCGAAATGGGGTTACTTGTACTCCTTACAGGGGTTGTTTTTACTCTTTTTGGAGTTAATTTAACTCTGAAAGTGGAGTAAAAATTTTAGGTACAGGATAACTCCTTTTTTGGGGTTATTTTAACTCCTCAATATCTGGGGTCACTTTTACTCCTGAAAAAGAGTTCTTTAAACTCCTTTTTGGAGTTAAAATAACTCCACGAAAAATAACTCCACTGTAAGGAGTTAAATTAGCCCCACTTGAGGAGTTATTATAACTCCCTGAAAATTACAGTGTAAACAGAAGAAAAGGAAGAAAGAAAAAAGAAAGTGAAAGCAAAAAGGAAAAAATTACCAGCAAATCTCAAACAAGGGTGTTACCCAGTCAACGCCCTTTATAGACATAAATCAGGAGCCTATCAAATGGAGCCTCCATCTCCCATACAAGCCCTTGGAGTCAACCCTTTCCCGAGTAGATTTATAATTAGAACGGTTCCCAGGGGAGACTTCGCGCGCCGACGGTGGGAAGAGCCAATCACAACGACTAAATGACACTGCTATTGTACTTCATGAAACAGCAGGAAATTCGGTGCTGACAGGCCAAACAACATCATAAGCAAGTGAAACGTGACTTAAGCGTTTTCATCCCTCAGAGATTTTGGGCGCTTTCCATTTACGAAAAAAACCCGGAAATTTCGGTGGTACCAAAAGTGGAATTTCCGATTGGTAAAAAGTTGTTCCATTTGGTCGTAAACCCCGGTACGTGGCCGGGTGCCCGACCGTGGACCTGGAACTGGTACAAACTACAAGAAAAGTCAATGGAACACGACATTCCGTTCGGAAATTCCAACCGGGAAAACGGGACCACCTTTTTAGATTTTCCACTTTTTCTGGGAATTTTCCAGTGGGACGAACCGACGAAACGTGTTCCATTTTCCGCCGAACCGGAAATTCCGGAAATTTTGAGTAAATGGAAAGCGCCCTTTCTTTCTTTTCTTTCTAGCGGGTAGATTATACTGTGGACAGTTTTAAACTCTGACTATGTTAATCTTAATTTTGGTTGCTTGTCTCACATTAAGCTGGTCTGTTACATGCGTAAGGATTAACTACTACCTGCAGTCTATAGTTCTGACAGGATTCGTTTTCTTTAGCCAATTTTTTTTAGCGTTAAGGTTCTTATTTCGGCTAAATGACTCAATATTAATCAAATTTCTAGTTTTTCAAGTTTTTATCCGAAATGCGTTTGTCTGAATAAATACTGTGATTGTTTTGTCCGTCAGTTAGTGTGATGATTCCCTGCTATGTTTTGTAACGCCGAGCCCAGTCATTGTTTTCTCGCAAAAAAGTGATCTACAGATGCCAATTCGAAGGAAAGAATTGACCTAAACTTCTACATTAATTGCTGAGAATTCTCCTGTTGGTCAGTCATAATTCTTTGGGCGCAGATACAATCCATTTTGTTTTTCTGGAGATAAGAGGGTCTTTGGACTGGAGCGCGATGCCCGGGCGCGATGTCACAAATTCCACCGTTAGCAAATTACTTTGAGTTAGCTTCACGGTCGAGCAACTGTTGTCTTCTGTTCAACTTTTCAAGTGCCAGTTTTATCAGGCAACTCTCATGGTGATACAAGTCAGTTGTAAAGGAAGACTGCAATTTTTCTAAAGCATTCCTCCTTAGTTGCTACTTAGGTCATCGCTTTTGCACGCGGTGCTTAACTGGCGAAAATCCACTCCACGGCGATGATATGACAAAAATAAATGATCCTGGCACTTTTTCGGCGCTGATCATCGAAAAGTTTCAAATCGTCCACAGAACGCTTAATCGTCGACTCTTTTCAAGGTGCATGCTTAAATGTGGGATGTATGACGGTAAAAAAAAAACAAAGACAAACACTCGCACAGAACCTTTCCGTGATCCTCAGTTCGCTGCCTTTGTCCCATCGCTTCATGCTCAGTCTCAGTCGGGTAATTCATTAACTTTTATTTCATCCCAGATCCCAGCGGCTGTAAAACTGTAAAAATGGACGTATAGTAAAAAAGGAAAACGGACGAAGGACGGGCTTCTGAGTTCGACTTCATCCAACTTCATTTTTTTCACGGTGACATACGAGACTCACGGAAATATGACACTTTTCGCGGGAAACAAGCCGTTCTATTTATAAATCTACTCGGGAAAGGGTTGACTCAAGAAATTAATGGAGATGGAGGCTCCAATTTGATAGGCTCCTGCATAAATATATTCATCACTAAGCAGCTGAGTATGAAAAACCCTGAAGTTTCAATTATTCTCTGAGCTTACCTCGAACAGATAAATTACAAGTGGCTTCAGACGATCCAAGAATGTTCCTGGCGTGACATGTGTACTGCCCAGCATCGCTGTAGTTCAGATTCTTAACGAGCAACTCTCCCTTTTTAATCAGATACTTTGCACCTGACAGAAGCTTTCTGCCCTTGAATCGCCACTCGACGGCAGGGGGAGGATTTCCTCCAATTGTGCAATAAAAAGCCGTATTTGTTCCTTCATCTCGTGTCTGTTCTGGCGGCGACAACATTACTTGTGGAGCAGATATCGATTTCCCAGGTATTCCTGGTGGTCCCGGTACACCTTTCGGCCCAGGCACTCCCTTGTCTCCCTTTTCTCCTCTCGGCCCTGCGGGACCCATCATTCTTGTTTTTCCGGATTTTCCAGGTGGTCCCATGGGACCTTGAGGCCCCCTTTTCCCCTTTGGTCCCCTCCTGCCACGGGGTCCTTTTGCCCCAGTGGGACCAGGAAGTCCAGGGGGACCTGCGGGGCATACTTTCTCACTTGATGTACAGTAGTTGAGGGGCATAAGTTGTTGAAAATGTTTTGTGATTTCTTTTCTCACGTCTTGTAATGTTATACTAGCTGAAGTGTCGTTTAAAACGTGTCTTCGGTTTCTTGGTCGGACGTTTGTAAATGCCATTTTTGACAACGGTACAACTGCAGTAAAAAATGTTGTATATAAATTATAATAACTGATTTGATTAACGAACAAATGAATTTAACAAAGTTGTACGTAGTAGAAGGTTCCTTCGAAATTTAAACCAAGTTATTAGGTCAGTTACTGACACCACCATAGCTTAAGCGGAAATGACACGATCCCTTCCATAAATGGAAGCGTTCACGAGAAAGAGACACCGGGTCTAAAGCTACGATAAAACAAGCAACAAAAACGTGCAACTTATTTCGAAACATTGCCGCAACATGAGTAAAAACGGCTGTGTAGCAGACTACAACAGGAGTTGAAAAGCGATGTTGCGCGTTTTACCACCCATGTTCAATTCTGTTTGATTGAATAAAATTACCCGGAAGTGACGCCATACACGGAGGTTACGTCACTTGCTGTAAAACAAGTTTGCCTTGAGCCGGTAAAACGTGCAACACGTACACCTCGTTTTGCCCTCCCAAATTTTTTGCATAAAGGTTGTCTTCAATTTCTCTTGGAACGACTGTAATACCCAGGAGAAACTAAAAGCCAAGGTTATGCAAAATTTAAAGGGGCGAACAAGGTGTACGTATAATGGGAGATGTGAATATGGATAATTGAAGCAAAAGAAATAAAGTACGTCTAAACGAGGTCAACAATCCTCTTTGTTCTTTTCTAGTACCGAAGCCAGGACCCTGAAAGAGGGGTTTCGTACAATGATCGGGTCAGAAAAGGTTTGATCGCGGATTTTGATAGAACAAGACCTACTGATCAATGTCAGGTAGGTGGTAGTTTTCTTTTTTTTTTTTTCATTCACAATGTTCTTGTGGAAATTAGTGCGTTATTACTGCCCCTCTTACTGTGAATCCTGTTTTGGCACATGTTTTAGACAACAAATTACTGTATTCAAGCAAGAGTAGGTCATTCTCTCTTGATTCAACTTGTGCCTATTGTTACTGGCCGGGGACAGGCGGGCGCTATTTTCCAATTGTAAAACTACAAGGCGAGACCAATATGGCGGACTCGCACAACAAAACAGACCTCGTGCGTTCTATTACCCATCATCATTCCTTAAGTTACAATTGTACCCTAAGCGGGCTGGGGTGGTCTTTTTTCCTACTCGCTATTACACAGTCTCATTTTCCACTCAATACACAAGCCTCCCACGTAGACGTTCTTAGGCTAAGTTTTGGTCCACTTACAGGTCCTTACAGCACACTAACGTTTGAAGCTTTATCCTTTGCAGTCAATCATTCAATATTCCTATCTCACAATAACAACCCAAAAAGCTTCAAAGTAAATTATTTTCTGTTAGACCTAACCCGCGGTAGACGTCTGAAAGGGAAGGAAAATGTGTAATTAAGACCCACACGAAAGCATTAAGAGCGCGCGAGAAATTTTTTGGTGCGCAGTGATAAGGGGCCTTATGACCAGAATAACAATCCAAAAAAGAAGTGCGAAGTAATTCATTTTCTTCACGGTATACTACCATGAAGAAAACTTGAAAAAGAAACCTTTCCTTGAAGATTCTCTGAACGAAGAGAGGAGACACTATTGGTCTAAGCGGTTAAGGAAGTTTAGAATACCCGGTCACTTGTTAGCCTGCGTGTCTTTCCTCGCTCCTCGCCGCTATCTCGCCGCTAAGGACGTTTTTTACCTGCTTGTCGGAATGCTTTTATATAAAAAAAAGGAAAAAAGAAAAGAAAAAAGAACATGTGAGGGCAACGCCCAATCAAGAAATGGGTCGAAACTGTGTCAAAAAAAAGACAAAATGGCGGATGGATTTCCCAGAAGGCTTTGCGCGTCCTACTTCCTCCTCAATGGGGCCGATATTTGGGGGGAGTGGACCGGTCATTTTAGGTCGTCTGGCGAACAGAAATGGAAGTCGAATTGGAGCGAACAAAAATAATTGCGTGGAGTTATTGCCCCTATATCTACGCCCAATAATTATCTAGATACAGTAGTCGATGCTGTTGTTAGCCTGCGCGGGAGCTGAGAAAAAAATGCCCTCCCACGGTCCCCTCGGAAAAGCTTCAACTTGATGGAATTCTGTCCCTTCGTGTGAAAGGTCTTTCGTTACAAGATTACAAGAAAGGAATGCTATTTGTAGATCGCCCCGTCAAATAGAAACATATTCACTTGGATAGTTAGAAGGGCTTTAAATGCAATATCCGACAGAATTTAAACTGAAACTTAATTTACTTTGAAAGTTTCTGTTATTGAACAGTATTTTAAACACCAAAATTGACCCTGTCACATTTTATAAGCGTCGAACGACAATAATTTTTGGAATTTCTGGTTAGATGCATCATATCAGTCACGTTATACTGTCATGCTATATTTTGCCGGGGACAGAGGGGTTGGGGGAGGGGTACATTGAGAAAATGTCCCGGTTAAAGATAATGCCAATCGTTTCTTGTTTCAAAAGGCGAATTACAGTCAACTACCTTTACAGCGGACACTATAGAAACCTCGAGTTAGTGTCCTCTTTAGCGAGAGTCCGTAATAGCGGGAGTTTATTTCAGTCAAAGCTCGACATCTATGAGAGAGGATAATTATACCTAAAGCATCGATTTTACCTGAATTAGAGGCTATCCCTTCTGAAACATGTGTCTGCATATTCTTGTAAAGATCTTTTGCGGTATCTTTTGCCGGCGAGAGAGTCATCTTGTCAAGATTTTCGATAGAAATACTCTTAACGCAGGAAAAACAGTGAATGCGAGATTCCAGCGCGACAAGTCGTACGTTGATTGTCGTATTCTTCACCCAGAGGCATCCGCAAACAAAAACTAGCATCACAGAAAGAAACGATGGCCTAACGGATGGAACAAAATCAAGGAGTCGATGAGATCTTGGGGTGTTTAAGGGTTTCATTTCTTCAGCTCCACAACGTCTTTCTTTCATAGCCACACAAAGACGAACGTTTGTGGGAAAGTTGCCAGCAAAGATTTGTGTTTAATCTGACAACTGACGTAAAGGAAGTCCCTTATAATTGTCTTATGGGGTATATGCCGCCCTTGCCTGCGTGCAGACGTCTCCTATTTCCTTTGTGCAACAAAGGAAATAGGAGACGTCTGCACGCAGGCAAATGCCGCCCCAAAGGGTATGGTTTTTGGAAGATCTTAACAATGACCTGGGGTTGTGGCGTCCAGTGGAGACCGAGCTGTTCGAAGCTGGGCTAAGATAACCCCGGGAAGATAACCCAGGGTTAGTGCGAAATTTGAACTCAAATATGCAAATTCAGTTTAATTCTCTTTTCCTACAATTTGGTGATTGGATACTCTAAAAAGAATGGGGAAAATTATCCGACAAAGGGCTTTTAATAACAAGAAAAAGAGACCCGGGTTAAAATTTTTGATTCTATTTCGAGAAAGGTTGTCGGAAAAAAGGTAATATGGGATATGATCAATACACTGTTCCTAACACCGTAGCTGTCAAACTTACTTTTGTTGCTTACCTGTAGTAATCGCAAACATAAGTCCATAGCCTCTCGTGCCACAGGCAGCCCAAGCGCACTATTTGTGGGTTCGGGCTTCAGAGGTCATTTGGTGGGAATATACTAGAATTATTAGTGTATTATCTGATGCCAAATAAATGCAAAAAGTCTTAAAGATATGAAGTCTTCTTGTTTGTCTATAGGTACTAGTAGCCTTTAAGATAACGAAAATCGATATTTCTTGCATTATTACATGTGATTCGGGCCCTTATTGATCGAATTTTATCACATGTATTCGAATCTACAACGCTAAGGGAAAAAAAATCATGATCACGCGAAATATTGATTCAAAAAGCTCCCTTACCTTTCGTTCATAGCCACTCTGTGTCCTACGGCTGGTTTAAACGCCGTTTAGTCGACTTTCTTTCCATCGAGTACTGAACACTATAAAAGAAGGGAAGGCTGGAGACCTTCCAATTGACCCTCGCCGCTCGAAGGCCAATAAATTCCAAACAAAGCGACCGATCTCCCTAAAATTGCCACCAGCCAGACCGAAGAGTGTACACCTACCCGTTCGACGAGCGCCAGGTTCTAAATTCGGCTGCATGAGCTCGAGGATCGTTGCATTTCGCATCGATTCTGGCCAGCTTCGCTTCGCCATGATGCGCAATCTTAACTGTTATCCTACGAGATTCAAATCTTGGAGCTTAGCGACGGCGTCAGATGGACAAAACGTCACTCTCGCGGGGGGAGGGTCGTCACTTTTGCCCTATCGCAAACCGACACCGTCCGGGGAGCCGGTGCGCTTAATTCGGCCGGAAACAGCTCACGCGTGTATGACACATGAAACCCAAAAACGTCCCAGACTGTCTTTATTATTTTCCACTCTTCTGAATAGCCAAAAGATTTCCTTTTCTTCTTCGGAGGAAAATCCTCCTCTTGTCTGGCTACTTTTGAGAACATCGTTATCAACAGACTTTCTTCAAACGCTAGACACAGGCACCGAAATACACGCGATCACCACAGGAACCGAAATACACGCGATTTTACTAACAAACAAGCTACGTGTAAAAGAAAAATATATTTTAGGGTAGCTCTGAAAAGAACTATTGTTAAAATACGAAAGGAAATATCGAACTTGAACAGAACTACTGACCCAAACAACGGACTGCAACGAACTGATTTTGGAACCGTTATTGGCAAGATTTAAATCTCAAATCGGAGATAAGACAGTCTGGGACGTTTTTGGGTTTCATGTGTCATACACGCGTGAGCTGTTTCCGGCCGAATTAAGCGCACCGGCTCCCCGGACGGTGTCGGTTTGCGATAGGGCAAAAGTGACGACCCTCCCCCCGCGAGAGTGACGTTTTGTCCATCTGACGCCGTCGCTAAGCTCCAAGATTTGAAACTCGTAGGATAACAGTTAAGACTGCGCATCATGGCGAAGCGAAGCTGGCCAGAATCGATGCGAAATGCAACGATCCTCGAGCTCATGCAGCCGAATTTAGAACCTGGTGCTCGTCGAACGGGTAGGTGTACACTCTTCGGTCTGGCTGGTGGC